ATATAACAACAGGTGCGCCTGTGATTGCAGCTGCAGATGGACACCATGCTGCTGGCTCGTTTCCGGCCACACAGCGCGAAGGGTCACGCGAAGCTTTCTTGCGTGGAAGCAGTTATGATTCGTGCCAGGATGCCCAGGACCCAAATTTTTTTATGCGGTCTGCAAACCGCAGGAAGAGGAGAAGTGCTGCCAGATCGCTTGCAGCGAGTGCGAGAAGGGTGGCTGCGAAAGTCGCACCATCTCCCACGCCCCCCCCAGCTGCGGTGCCATCAGTTTCAGAAAAGGCACCAGCCATCTTGGGCAATGAGGCCAAAGATGCCGAAGGTGACGATGTGTTCCACCGCTCTGTCTCTGACAGAGAGGATGAGAGTGAGGAGCCTTGCTCTTCCCTCCCGAGCGAGCGCAAGATTGAGAAGAAGGATGCTATGTGGTGGAAGAGCCTTAACCCCATATATCATGTAGTTTCAATGCCCGCATACATGATATTGTGCCAGCTTTCTCCCACTAAGGATGTACCGGTATTTCAGGCCTAATTCGGCCGGGATGGTCAAGGCCTCTGAAGATGCCATGCGCTTGTACAAGAGTGCTGAAGGACGCAAAGCTGTCAGCATTTAAGTGCTGTGCCTGTCAAGTTTTGCTTAGCTGCGAGCCCCTCTAGATAGAAAGCCTCAGCCCTTGTTTTTCAGGTTTGAAGCTTCGATCGCTTCTTACCCAGCATGGCAATTTTGGCCGTGTGGAGATCGCTCTGAAAAAGTGGCGCACTCACATGCGGAGATTGCAGAAAGAAGGAGGATGGTACACTAAAGTCTACCTAGAGCTGGAGGCAAAGTGGTCAAAGCTTCCTGGTTCAATTCTGAATGTGGGTTTGGGATGTATATCGGGATTTCGGGGCGAATTTCGGGGTTAATGGTCTAGACAAAGGAAAGGTGAGGGATTTCGGGTTAAGCAAACTTTCAAGCTTAGGAAAATGATCGCGAATGCCTGGAAGTGGGCGGATCAGCAGGCGGGGCGGAAGCGTGTCAACGAGGTGCACGGAGAGGAGGAGATCAGGTGCGTCTTAAAGGACACCTTTCTGTTTATGGACGAGGAAGGCGATACGGCCGAGCAGACAGGTGCTTTCGATGTGCAGGACAACATGCATGACGTTGAATGAATGAACAAATCATCAACCCTCGAACTAGATAGACCTCTACAAACCTTATAAGCCCCAAACTCCACACCCTCTAAAGCCCTAAACCCTAGACCCTAGCAAACCCTAAACGCGGAACCCTATCAAACCCTTTATAAAGCCCTTAGCCCTATATACAAAACCCCAAACCCTGCATTCATATGTATACCCGAAATATAACCCTAAACTATATAACGCCTTAAACCTTACAAAACCCTAAACCCTGAACCCTATGCCTTTTCAGGATGAAGCTGGTACCCTCCTCGCCTCCGACCTCCCCGACGTGGCCAGTGCTTCAGATGACAAGCTCATGGAATCATTGGGCGCGCCCACAGAGACTACGCCTCAGGCGGCTGTGACAGGAGGGGGAGCCTTCAAGCATCTTGCCTGCAACCTCAGGGACTGTATGGGGCATGTGGTAGCTTGTGCTGCTTGCATGGCGTTGTACAAGTAAGGATCACCTATCCGACCTTGCGTCAGAATGCATCCCCATTTGGGCTGTTGCCTTCCTTCATTGAAGTGGCCGGGCGCAAAATGGATTCGACTGAAGGAGTTCTTGTCTCTTGGCCTTATGGTTTTCCGTAGCAAGCATATGGAAAAGCGGCAGCAAATCTAGTCATGTAACTCCTGCCGAAATTCTTTAGCTGCTGCATGGTTAAGGACAAGTTGCAAACCATTGCAAATCCTCGGGCACAGATGCCCCTTCGATGGATGCAGCATTGTTTGGGTCTAGGGTCTTTCAATTAAGGGTTTGGCTTTAGGGCTTAAGAGTTTGGGGTAAAGTTACAAGGATGGTGTAGCCATATGGGTTCTTCCGCTTATGTGTGAAAGAATTGGGACTCATGGGTTTGATGATGGCGCATGGGGCTTGCAGAGCTCTCAAATCCCCAAACCTATGCAGAACATGATAGACTCATAGAATCCTCAATCAAACCGTAAAACCATACGAAACCTAAGCCCAAAATCCTCCTTGGCTCAGGTTGGCTACTGCCCTCACGGCCCAGCTTGACAAGCTGAAGAAGCAATATGAAAGCATGCAGAACCTGCAGGAGCAAGTCGCCACTGCCAAGACTACAAGGTTGATTGTGTAGGTATATACGATCCAGCGTAAAATCTCCCAAAGCCTATATGCCTAAATCTGGAGGCCTGAGATGTCCCAAGAGCTGCTGGCTACGTTTGCAGAATGCACTCGGCTTGATGTGGCCCTCAACAACTTGGTGGTCCGTGCTCGGCCCGCGGGTTCATCAAAAATCCCAAACTCCAAACCCAATACCCGATAACCTCGTAAACCCTAACCAAACCCTAAGATTTAGACTAAGCTGTCATCACTAAGCGCATGACCATCTCTCCAGCTCACGCAGGCAGATGAAGCCCAGCAGCACGCCTTCCGTGGTTGCCAAGAATCAGAAGCCCAAGGCTAAAGCCAAGAAGGGGGCAGCTCGGAAGACTGCCTCGAGAAGTTAGGAGGGATCAGAGATCCCATGATGGGGCCTAGTTGTGGCATGATCCACACAGGGTCTGAGATCCGCAGGGTCTGAGATCCGCAGGATCATTATGTGAAGTCACTGCTGCACGGTGAAATAGCACTTTACATGTCTCATGGGGTCGGGCAGCAGTGAAATAGCAAATCACATGCATTTATGGGGTACGCGCTTCTCATCAACCCGCTCGCTCGCTAGATGAAAAATGAATGCTGGGGGCAGTGAAGTTGGGTGGCACACCCTTGCCAAATATCTAACTGTGCACCATGGCTTGCATTTCAAGTTCTGGAGCCTGGAGGTGGCCAGACTGATACTGACGATCTCCCTGAAGGACATATTATTATGAACTTCAATTCTCTCCCAAACCTGGCCTTTTGCAGGAGTACGGTACCGCGTGGATGACACGGACATTCGAGAACAAGAAGACCTGGCAGACGAATTGTTAGTCGGGTTTGAGGACGGTGTGCCTTTGCTTATTTGGAG